AACGTTCTGGGTGAGAGGCGGGGTCACCCTGGACAGGTCGCCAGTCTGTCGCAGGGCAACACAGAGACACACAGGACAAACAACCAGGCACACACACTCACCTAGGGAGAATTTGGAGAGGCCAATTAACCTGACAGTCATGTTTTTGGACTGTGAGAGGAAGCTGGAGTACCCGGAGAGAACCCACCATGCACAGGGAGAACATGCAAACTCCATGCAGAAAAGACTCCAGGCTGGGAATCGAACCCAGAACCTTCTTTCTAGGCAACACTGCTCAGTTTTGTCAATATAAAATTCATTCTCATGTTGATGTTTGGATATTTTCTTTGGGACAAACTAGTTGCCATCAAGGTTCAATTTCAAATGTATGGGGTTCCGATGTCCACTGCAGTGGACACATGATATTTCAAAAATAAAAACTTTTTTTCCAAAACATTTTTTTCAGTATTCTAATTGCCTTACAAAGATTGTGAAATTAAAAAAAAATGGTGATTGGACAATATTTTTTTTCCCTGGTAGTCAGGAGCATATAACAAAGTTTTAATGCTGCAAAACAGCTCAACTTTGACTTGTCCTGTGATTTTGTGTTTCTGTTTTACCTCTCAGGTGTATGTGGTATACTGGGCTGCCAAGAAGTCATGGTGTCGTGCTGTAGTGCGGTCCGTCATCACCGACCCAACATGCTGTCGAGCCTTTTGCTTCCTGGTTGACCACGGAGAAATGATTGTGGTCTCCTTAGACAAGTAAGGCAAATATAGCTCTGGTTCCCAGCTCAAAGTGAAACTTACTTATTACATAAGTAAGTAGCAGTTACAATCTCAGATGTGTAAGGGCTGTGCTGATTGTTAAATTGTATTTTCTTGTTTCTTGTCTCCTACCAAGAATACGAGTGCCATTACAGAAGTTCCTCCAGCTTCCTTTTTGGGTGAGGAGGTTCCATCTGGCACGAATCCAACCAATAACCCTTCGAGTATCTATTCTTGCAGAAAAAGTAGAACTTGAGTGAGACATTGAGTTGTTTTCATTTAATATTTAAACTTTTGACACTTCATTGTTGACTGTTTCACTTAACCTATATTACTATTACTGTTGCTTTTTCCTGCAGACCATCTAAACAGTGGGACTTTTCGGCTACTCTTTACCTGCACAACTTGCTTCGAGGTTAAAAGAATTAGTATTTAGTATGATCATAATAAGATGTTAATATTTGTACTAAAATGTTTTTGTCAATTGTTTGATTTTTCCTCATAGCATCCACCCAAACAGAAGCTGTGTTGCATGAGTTGGAGTCGGACTCTACCTCCATTGAGCTTTATCTTACCATCAGCAACATCAAGGTGAACTTTGTCATAAGTACATGTATTTTTTTTAGTGGTGGGTATTATTAATTGCAACATCTGTAATGAATCACAATCACATTTTGATTGAAAACTACATATCAACAAAATAAGCTACATTCTCAATTTAAAAACTCGCTGCTTAATTATTGAATAAATAGGTGTATAAGCTTAATAACAAAGACATTTAATTGTTTTCAATCTATTAGGTTATTCACCCATGTGTGAAGTGCTGTTATACCTATTTAGCTTTCAAGTATTTCAGGAAGCCCTGATCATTCCTGGATCTTCTTTAGAAATGTTTTTGTTGACGCTGACGTTAGCGTTGGGGATGTCTGTGCTGCTGCAACGTGTTGTGCATTTAGATGCTATTTTAGGCTTGAATAACTTCACTGATGGGCCAACTCCTTTCGGTACAACTTGAACACAAGTCAAGTGAACACAGTCTTTTCCAGAGTCCCGTCAAATTGTTCTTTTGAAGCAAAAATGAACCGTCTGTGGACAAGAGAACTGACTTTGTCATCTATTGCTGTTTTTGGAGGCTGTCGCTTGTGTGTCAGATTTATGGGTGTACCAAAAAAACTCATGAATACAAAATTCTGACTGGAACTGGTTTGTAAAAAATAGTTTTATTAAATGCGTTAACTTTTGTAACATGTCAAAATCTACATAATCATTTAATCAAAATTAACACGTTAAAGTCCTGGCCTTAGTATTTTTTATTACATATCCACATTGTAGTTGTTGTTCTTGATATTAATTTTATTATATATTCATTATAATGAATATTACAAGCCAGGCTTATAAAATGGGGGTAAGAAGTTTATAATATTTCTTTCTTTTACAGATCTGCGTGAATGATGACCTGGTGGCCAATAGGTTTGCATGTTACAGCAGCAGTGGCCTGGACGCCTGCGACAGGTTTCCTCTCATGTTGTCCCCCAGCATCCTAACTCAGACTGCTTCCAAATGCTCTGACAAGCAGTTGGAGCAAAACCTGCATTTGCCCAGTGAGCATGGAGGTATGACCCTTCTACTGAGCAAAGACCAGAATTATTAATAATTCTCAGAGGCTTCCCATTTACTAAAAGATAGGCAATCAAAAAGGAGACAAAATGCAATACAATTTCTAGTAGAGGTGTGCTGATCGATCTGCCACCAATCATAATCGGCCAATTTCCATAAAAAAGTGTATGATCGGTGATCGCCGATCAAGGTCTCTTGT